CACAATATTGTTGGGTGTGTTCACTGGGAATGGTCCAATATTCCACCTTGACTTCTTGAGACGCCGTGCAGAGACTGCTGGGCATTGTGATGGGCACCTCTGAATCATGTCTTGGGCAATGCTAAGGGTCAAGAACCTTAGGGTTCTCTCTCTCTCTTTGACCCCGAGATCTGAAGTGGGTAATACAGGTAGTCCTCGATTTACGACCACAATTGAGTCCAAAATTTATATTGCTACGTGAGAAGTTTGTTACGTGAGTTTTGCCCCACTTTATGACTTTTCTTGCCACTGCTGTTAAGAGAATCACTGCAACGGTTAAGTCAGTTACACGGTTATTAAGTGAATCGGGCTTCCCTGTTGACTTTGCTTCGCAAAAGGGGATCGTGTGACCCCCGGGGACACTGCAACCGTCATAAAGATGAACCAGATGCCAACCGTCTGAATTTGGATCATGTGACAGAGGGGCTGCGGCGGCGGTCGTAAGTGTGAAAAATGTACGTCACTTTTTTCAGCGCTGCTGTAATTTCGAACATGGATGGATGTAAGTCGAGGACTACCTGTAGGGGGAGAGCACCAGGAAAACCCACCACTGGGAGATCACAATCCTCTCCGAAACGAGCGTCCAAATTGCTGCCAGAAAAACCACAAGGTTGTGTCCCTGAAATTCACCGATCAGAAGAAGCTATTGTTAGAAACACTGACACCAACCTCAGGAGGGACCTGCCCAGCGAGTGCCAAAGATTTCTGGGAGTTCAAGGCGCTGTGTGAAATCTATATTTGAGATCGATAGGCTGGTTAGCCGTTATTTTCCCCTTTGGTTCCATCTTTAAGAATCGTGGCCAAAGCAAATCGGTAACAATCACAAATCGGATAGCTTGAGATTTCGTAAAACAGCCTCTTTGTTGGTATTTGATCTATTCCCAAACCTTTTCATCCTGCGATTCTTTAAACTCGGACACTTTTAAGACGTGTGGACTTCAATTCCCAGAATTCCCCAGCCAGCATAGAATTCTGGGAGTTGAAGTCCACCCATCTTAAAGTGGCCGAGTTTGCGTGACACCATAAGACCCTGATAATCTTTGAACTCAATTAAAATGTCCCTGTTTCATAAAAACCACTTTTAGCCCATTTTGGATCATTTACTCAGGTTTGGTAAGCACTGGTCTGTGGACTTCAATTCCCAGAATTCCCCAGCCAGCATAGAATTCTGGGAGTTGAAGTCCACCCATCTTAAAGTGGCCGAGTTTGCGTGACACCATAAGACCCTGATAATCTTTGAACTCAATTAAAATGTCCCTGTTTCATAAAAACCACTTTTAGCCCATTTTGGATCATTTACTCAGGTTTGGTAAGCACTGGTCTGTGGACTTCAATTCCCAGAAGTCTTCAACCAGCAAGGCGGCTGCTAAGAATTCTGGGATTTAAACTAGCATTGTGCTGTCCCCTTTGGGTTTTTGGAGCATTACAATTCTTATATTAATCTATCATGTTTACAGTTGGAAGGACCTTGGGTATCACCAAGTCCAGTTAAGCCCACCACCAAGTCCAACCATTTCCAACGTCAACATCTGCCATCACCAATGTCAAATCAACTTCCTCTCAAGTAAAATTCATCACATCCCTGTAAAGGAGAATATTTGTAGGCCAGGATGGATGTGAGGGGTCCTTGGTGCTCTCTGAGCTTGCTGGTTTTCTTGCAGATGTTTCATGACCAAACTAGGTAACATCATCAGCATCCCTGCCAGTTGGCCTTCCAACCACCTAAACTCTTCCAGCCCAACTTTTTCCTGAGCTGCAACCAAAGCTGACTCTATTCTGCCCTGCGTTTGAATGATAGCTTGCTAACTCTAGAGGCCTCCTTCTACCCAATGTCTTCCCTTAAGCTTTCAAGAAGAGAGACTGGACTGCCGTTTGTCAGAAATATTATAGGGTCTTCTGCTTAGGTGGTGGGTTGGACTAGATGACCTACAAGGTCCCTTCCAACTCTGTTAATCTGTTAAAAGTTGTTTTTTTTTTGTTTTTTTTCTGGAGACTGTGCCCACTGCCCTCGACTTATGACCGGAATTGAGCCCAACATTTATGTTGCTAAATGAGACACCTGTTCAGAGTTTTTGTCTCATTTTACAACCTTTCTTGCCGCAGCTGTTAAGCGAATCGCTAACATTGTTAAGTTTCACGATTGAAACTTGGCTCCCTTTAAGACGTGTGGACTTCAACTCCCAGAACTCCCTAGTTGACATCCAGAAGCCATAAAAGAGCCAAGGTTTCCCCCCCACACCACACCACTGTAAAACATGAAGGACCACTGATTTGGATGTTAGATGTTGAGACTCTGGAAAGAGTGCAGAGAAGAGAGAAGAGAAGAGATGATTAGGGGCCTGGAGACTAAATCATATGAAGAACTGGGTTGAGTTGAAGTCCACGCATCTTAAAAGGACCAAGGATGTAGATCCTTGCTCTAAAATGACCAACTGATCCTCTATTGGGGCCCTGATCCAGTCCTAAAGGAAACCTTCAGCACCGAAGAATCCAAGATCCCCTCAAAAGAGGATCCTCCTTCCTTGTTCCTGCCTAGGAGAATCTCCTCCTGCAGAAGATCCCAGAAGATTTTTTCTCCTGACCTCTCTGCTTCTTCGAGCTTTTCCTGGTCACCCACCTTGATCTCCGCCAAACCCAGCGCTCCTCAGGGACTCCCTGCCCCCGAGTGCACACAGGCTCCCCCTCTCCCCATCCACCAAGCAGGGAGGCAGGCAGGCACACAACTGGGCGGACTTCACACAACGCAGCTTACTCAGGTCAACGGCAACGCTAAGGAGGGGCGTTCAACCGGGCGCTAAGCTAACCAAGCCCCAGCAGAGAACCGCTTGGTCCTTTAGGACTTCAGAACAGGGCTCTTCAAACTGAACCGCCTTTAAGATTTGTGGTATTTCAACAAACCTGGTTCGTTTTAACCAACGTAGGTGGGGTGTGGCATCATGTGTGGATGCAGCCCGTTTGATTCTTTTATAGGGCAGCAAACCCGAATAATCCAGGTTAAGTTTGTTGTATATGCAGGATTGAGGCTTCTTTGCGCAAACCACTTGCTTTTATTGGGATTTGGGGGTGGGGGTGTTTGTAGGCATCTCATCTCAAAAGCAACAACAGCAGCAGTGACGCCGACAAGACCGTGCCATGGTGGGAGGGGTTGTTTACTCTCCCAAAACATGGAGAGAGGGTTGATTCACCAGTCCCTTCCCCTCCGATGCCAGGGCTTTGGGAAAAGGGCTCCCTTGTGTGGGCAGGACCTGGCGTCTCTCTCCGTATTAATTGAGGCTCGCCTGCCCTCTTAAACGGGGATGGGGAAGCTTGGCTCTTTTATGGCTTGTGGACTTCAAATCCCAGAACTCCCCAGTTGACGTCCAGAAGCCATTAAAAAGGGGCCAAGGTTTCCCCACGCGCCACACCACTGGAAAATGTGAAGGAGCCGCTGGTTTAGGCGTTAGGTGTGGAGACTCTGGAAAGAGTGCAGAGAAGAGAGAAGAGAGGAGAGAGAAGAGAGGAGAGAGAAGAGAAAAGAAAAGAGAAAAGAGAAAAGAGAAAGGAGAGAAGAGAAAAGAGAGAAGAGAGAAGAGAGAAGAGAGAAGAGAGAAGAGAGAAGAGAGAAGAGAGAAGAGAGAAGAGAGAAGAGA